TCTTTGTGGACATCAAGACTCCAGATGTGACAGAAGATGTTGTCTGTCTATAGATTTCACCATATGCTATATATCACTTTGCAGGATTTCTCTGCTGATGCACACATACGTATAAGAACAAGGTGGTCAAGAACTAAGCTATTGCTTTGTATGATTTCTCGTTTTTAAACCATGTTGGAAGACATTCTTGTGCACATCAAAACATGATCCGACTGGTACAGGCTATGGAGATTTCTGCCAGCCATTTAAATATAGAATGGAATGGTAAATTAAACATATTAGGAGCTGGACGGATGGCTATCCCTTCTTTGTGAATCTTCGTCAAACAGTAAAGACGTGAAACAGTTAATACATGTAGCTTAGTTCTTTGAGAAATCTCAACACTCATTGTTAATTTTTCCCTCATTTTGAAGAGAGAATTTGTCAAATGTTGTCGATTTCATCTTCGACTGACTTTTTCAACTTGGAGTAATTACTAAGAATCTTTGAGGTTCTTTCTACATAATCTGGTTTATTTAGCAAGACAAATACACTACTTTGTTGGTCATTTGGTCAGTTGGTCAGTTCTTCTATATTGACGATGCGTTCTTTATTCAGAAGTCAATAATATTTCCAGTTTGAGTTTTTAATTTTTGACAGAATTTGCGAACAGTTAGCTTGATATGTAATAGTTCTGCGTGGGAGATATAAACTAGGTCTTTTGTTTGATTATTGAGACATTTGAATGATATTTCTGTCCGAAGAGAGGCTTCGTTGGAATTTCGATGATTAAACTTAATGCCAAGTATTGAAGTCTGAAGCTGTTTCATCCAAAGGGTCAATTTGGAGATGTTAAAACAAAGGACTCTCGGTTTGTTGGAAATTTTGCAGCAACTTTGAGCGGTTTCATGGCACATAGAATTTTCTGCTTAGTTTTCCATGTAAGTTTTTCAATGTTTGCGGCAACATTTTCAGTCAGCAATCGTTCTTTCAGTGACTCGAAGTGCATACACGTGAGTGTAGGTTGTCACTTATGTCCAGAGCATGACATTTTAGGATATACTGATTTTGATGGACATGATTTCCACGAAGAGCTTTCCATTCAAACACCGAATTTTTGAAAGACCTAGAATGACGACACATTCGCTATACATGTTTTATATTTAGCATATAGTTAATCTGTATGCTTCCTAGTGCTTCAGCATGATGTTTTGATTTTAGGATCATCATGTTTTTGATACACTTTTCTCTTCTTCTGCCTCGAAACTGAAATGAGTGGATCATTTCACCAGACAGAACTCTTCTCTGTGTATCTACCAGTTTGACTATTCCTGTGGAGTCAGTTACATAGGCCGTAGACTTAGGCGTGTTTATCATCAGATTTCCAAGCATAACCGAGCGTAGTTGCGTAAAGGACAAACAAAATCCCTTCATAGAGCTATATCTTATCTTGTGGATACAGAACAAAAGATTGGTGTTAATGAGGTATTGAAAGTCATCTACCACATACCAACTAATCTTAACTTCACATTGAGAGTTCGTCTACTATATATCGCTGAGGAATTTGGAATCCACATTAAGCAACCTAAATTATGTATTGGAAAGTAGTTAGTTAAAACACTGTCCTTAACTTAGACATTAAGGTTTTAATGACCCTCAATTTGCAATTGAAATTTCCTTAATAATATATGTATAAAACTTGGGCAATGCGGTAGTAAGTAATTCCAAATTAGTTTGTTTATTTGATATATCACACAGTGAAACAGTATTATTTACTGGATGACGTTTCGAACAAAATGTATTGTTCATAATCATTTCAATTATAATCACACGACTTTGACACTTGAGTTTTATAGTTTTCTTTGTTCTCTCTTATTTGTCGTTTGGGTAGTAGAATTTTCCAGATATCGGGACAGGTGATGAATCATTCCTATTACATGTATTTGTAGTTGATTCGATAAACAAAGCTTCTTTTATCAATCTCTCCCTATACCCTGTGACATTAGATTTTAAAACTGTCATCCTATCCCATCCTATTGTGTGGTTGTGTGTAACTGCATGTAGTGCTATGGCTGAACTATTCTCTAGATTTCTTATCTTATTCGGGTCAGCCAATCGAGATTTTGCTAGGTTTTTATGTTCAGCTAGTCTGACTGCCCCTGTTCTACTAGTTTGACCTATGTATTTGACCTGACAATCATTACAGGGTATGAGATAAACTAAATTGTTTTGTTTTAAGGGCTCTACAGGATCCTTTAACCGACAAAGCTTGTTTCTAATTGAGTTTGTGGGTTTGAATGCCGTTTTTATTCCTGCCTTGTTAAAAATTCTGCGTAAGGCTTCTGAGGTTCCTTCCTTGTATGGAATTACTACTGATGATTTAGATTTCTTATTATTGGTGTCGTCATTAATATTATTATTATTATCACTATTATTATTAACATTATTATTATTATCACTATCGCTACTATCATTGTTTATTTTATTTTTACATTTCCTTACATATTTCTTGATTAATTTATCCGGGTAATTATTAAGATTCAAAGCTACTTTTATGCGTATCAGTTCCTGTTTTAGATTATCTTTGGTACTACTCAGTTTTTGTGCTCTGTCATTTAAACATTTCACCAATCAGTAAAAATAGGATTGGTGAAATGTTTAAATGACAGAGCACAAAAACTGAGTAGTACCAAAGATAATCTAAAACAGGAACTGATACGCATAAAAGTAGCTTTGAATCTTAATAATTACCCGGATAAATTAATCAAGAAATATGTAAGGAAATGTAAAAATAAAATAAACAATGATAGTAGCGATAGTGATAATAATAATAATGTTAATAATAATAGTGATAATAATAATAATATTAATGACGACACCAATAATAAGAAATCTAAATCATCAGTAGTAATTCCATACAAGGAAGGAACCTCAGAAGCCTTACGCAGAATTTTTAACAAGGCAGGAATAAAAACGGCATTCAAACCCACAAACTCAATTAGAAACAAGCTTTGTCGGTTAAAGGATCCTGTAGAGCCCTTAAAACAAAACAATTTAGTTTATCTCATACCCTGTAATGATTGTCAGGTCAAATACATAGGTCAAACTAGTAGAACAGGGGCAGTCAGACTAGCTGAACATAAAAACCTAGCAAAATCTCGATTGGCTGACCCGAATAAGACAAGAAATCTAGAGAATAGTTCAGCCATAGCACTACATGCAGTTACACACAACCACACAATAGGATGGGATAGGATGACAGTTTTAAAATCTAATGTCACAGGGTATAGGGAGAGATTGATAAAAGAAGCTTTGTTTATCGAATCAACTACAAATACATGTAATAGGAATGATTCATCACCTGTCCCGATATCTGGAAAATTCTACTACCCAAACGACAAATAAGAGAGAACAAAGAAAACTATAAAACTCAAGTGTCAAAGTCGTGTGATTATAATTGAAATGATTATGAACAATACATTTTGTTCGAAACGTCATCCAGTAAATAATACTGTTTCACTGTGTGATATACCTAATAAACAAACTAACATGGAATTACTTACTACCGCATTGCCCAAGTTTTACACATATATTAATATCACCAACATACAACCTATCTAAATACTTACTCTCGATACTACAACCACCACAAAAGGACACTCAAAATATTGTAAGAAATTCATATGATTTCAAATCCCAAATAGAACACCGAGAAATTGATAAAGAAGACATCATGGTGAGCTATGATATTAACTCATTATATACTAGAATCCCTATTACCGAAAGTCTTGATATCATTTCCAGTCTTCTAGAATCAGATACAACTCTATCACCTTTGTTATTTGGTTTAGTTATCTTCATCGCTATTTTTACTTTCGATATGTCCCTTTAACTTGACCTATGTCTATTTTCTCACCCCCTAACTGTTTGTTATATATATGCTGAGATTTTGTAAATTCCGGTTTAATAATACTTTGATAAAGCTATTAGCATTAAATAGCGAAACGTCAGTAAAAACAATATCGTTTTGTCTTTCATTCATTGAGAAATACAAAAACCTTCATTATAATGAATATCATATACCCAATGCCCAAATTTTTTCAAACCGTTAAAAGTGAACTTGGTTTGGACATATATATCTCACTCTTCTTATCTAATTCCACTATATATAATTCGTTGTTTGTTGACACCGAATAATCTGTCTACCTAAATCAAATGCTGGAATTATGTTCCTTATGCCTTCTATCTATAACTCAAAGTAATTATGAAAAAGTATGTTCCACAACTTTCTTGAAACCTATAATTTGATTGCGTTTAGGATGTATGCAGTTGATGAGAATCCACGAAATAAAACGAGCTCGTATTACCCTGGAAACATTTTGATTTTTCCTTACTTTTATTTGATATTATATTCCTTATTACATTTTTAAGCTTATTATAATTTAAGCGTCTTTGTTGGACGGTAATTCTATTGATCTTACTTAGCAAATGGATAGTATTTAAAAACACCAATATTGTTAATGACGACTATTCTAGAATATTCTGTGTATATGAACATATACATAATTGTGGAACCAGAAGAGGAAATTATCGAAAAGGACGAATCTTTGCTCAATTTTTTTAAAATGTTTTGTAAACCTGGATGATTGATTGATGTAGTTGACTGTCTGATTAAGATTTTCGTGTCATTTAGGTGATTTCTAATAGAAGTGACATCTTCTAATGAAAATGTCACTTCCACCTCTTCAATTAAAATTTTTATCTTTTTCTTTTAACGTGGCAATCTGAGCGAGGTGTTTTGTCAACTATTAAAATAGAAAAACAACATGAGTTTGCAGGTTTTTCAAAACACACATTAAGACACACGCCCATACTTGACAAATTACAAATTTTCAAAATCATAAATTAAATTTCAGATCACAAAGTAAGATTTAGGCACAGCCCAAATGATTGTTTTCAAAAGTTTTAAGAAACCTATATAAAAGAGTTCGGAAAGAAAATGTTTTATTACTAAGTCAGCCATGAATTTAATCGCTGTTTTCATTGTGTTATTAGCAGCCTCAGGCATTGTAAAGTGTGAATTCACTTGCCGTATTCCAAAGCCAATCCCCCTGGTAAGATCACTTTACCATGCATATTCTTCCTTTCATCTAGCAATATACAGTAGGAGGTCAACCGGGTAATACTGAGAAAAGAAGCACAAAACCTTCTCGTTTGAAGTTTTCTGTGTCTTATACTTATGGCTTCAACCGATTACAGGAAGCTCAAAAACTCAGGGTAATTTTAATGATTAAATGGAAACTTCTACCATTTAAATATACACTTTCGTGAAATTCTTGCAACATTGGCGGGCAAAAAAGATGACTAACTTATGGAATGTGTGATCGCATGAGAGGACACTACAGATTAATTTATGAATAACACTGTGAAATTTGGTTACAGCATTTCATCCTGAACTGACATCGGTTAGAGAACCATTAGAAAAACCCACCGGGGAGTACTGGACAGTTGTTCTTTCAGCCTAGTTTGGGGACTAATCCTTCAGCAGTACGCACTCACCCTAAGGCTTGAGCCCAGAACTCTCTTGTTACAAGGCGAGCTCGTAGACCATTAGGCCACTGGGACCGATCCAATGGCCAGCCCATGAGTTGTAACTTCTGTCAATTCATGACATAGCTCGATCACTTCGCAATGTCTTCGGCGAGTATTTGTCCTCACACCCGACATGCTGCACCCTACAAACGAATACTTGAACTGTCAAATTTGTTGTTTGCATAGCAGCATTTAAACATAACATTTATGTTACTTTGTATTGTATAAAAGTAAATGTCGACTGAAAACGTTTTTACAATTTCGATTCTTTTAGAAACTAGTTGAGGATGCAACAAAATTTTGGCAGAAAGCGTTGACAGTCAAAAATCCAGGAGATGACAAGCAACTTGTGAAAAGGTAAGTATGAAAATGATTTCATTTTGATTTTGAGATTTTTCACCGTCATCATTTCACACATCAACATGAGCTTTTCTACATGTGTCTATTTCTTTTCTAGTTTCTTTATTAATGTACATGTTATGACTATTGTTCGTTCCTTGCATTCCGATTGGAATACAGGGTTTTAGAGACACATCTCTATTTAACTGGGTTCCATTTTATCTCAGAGGATCTGCTCCATGTTACTGCCAGATAGTCTTTTAGTTTCTCGTTCTTCATTCGCGTTCAACTCGAGGGCCCACATGGTATGTAATGCCACTTGAAGGTCTGTCTCTTTAGATTATGTCTAACCCATCTCAATTTCGTTTTGTATATCTGTTGAGCAACAGGTCGTTAGCTATTTCTGTGCCTTCATGAGCACGGTGATGGTTACCCTTTCAATTCGGTCATCCGAGCTCAAATATCAAACGAAGAAGGCGGCCGTTTATGATGAAATTGTTCCGTAACCTTTTGAAAAAGCGCTTTTAATGACACCCTTAACAATCCTTTAAATCATATACGAAACCTGAGTTGAAATTAGTGTCGAATGTTCAGATCTCGTTCCTTGTGTTGAATGCTGCGAATTTCTATGATTATTCCAGCGTAATGAAAGCCTGTCTTGATTTCTCAGTCTGATCTTGACAGGTTTTAACACTTCCATATGTGCTGTCTGTAGTTAAAATGATGATGTTGAGTTAAGTGAAAGTGACGACTCACTTTAGATTTCTCTCACTGATGATAACTGGTGTTTGTTGATGTTGTTGCTTGGTTTGTTCGCCTGAAGCCCTGTCCTTGAAACTTACTCCACCTACTAGTCGTCTTTCGCTTGCTATTCTTCTAGTTTGTGAGACATGCGATATGAATTATCGATGAAATCCACATCTTCTAAGATCTTGGCCTAACTAATTCTCTTCTCACTCCCAAAATGATCCAGTTTTTCACAGTCAGGGATATCATCGGCGATGGTAGACAGTCATGGGTAGTCCTATTTTCACTTCAAATACTTCTGTTAACTTTCAAGGCAACTCATTCTAACAGTATGTTTAACGGAACTTTATTACTCACTTGTGGAAAAATTCATGCTTTAGACTTAAAGTCGATTGTGACATACTTATTTCATAACGTAAACGAAGAATAACGAGAATATCAAAACGTGACATAAATGAATACTGTTTGTTGCTTTTCTTTCTAGATATTGTGATGGTGAATATTACTATACAGTTAGCGGAAACAATTCTTTATACTGTGTAGATTCAAAATGTAACAGAAAAGCTATGTGTGGCTCCCTAGAAGTTCCAGATCAATACGCAGCTGTAAGTGATCTTTATACATCTGTGATGCTTTTTCCCTGGTAATTGACTCCCAGAATGACTGATTTTCACTGAGTTTTAAAATTTTGCGACATAGGTGCGCACTTCATATCTTTTATGTTGGAGAACGTGGGAAAAATCGAGGAAAACAGTCTATGTATTCTGTATATGTGTCAGTCCACTAAATGACATGTCGTAACTATCGCCTTACGATCGATTAAAAATATGAGGGTGATAAGTGCCAATTAATTTTATTGAAAAAGATATGCGATTAAAGGAGCTTGATCGAACCGAAGTTTAATAATTGATAATGAATGCCACTATGCACGGAGTTGTCCATTAAAACACGACTGATGCGAAATAGACGATTGTTTACACAGCAAACCTATGTTTGTCGTTTTCTAGCTGACGAATGACTGAGACGAAAACGAAGGATAAGCTAGATAGTTTTGGCACATCTATGTGTATTTATCAATTCAACTGCACCTGAGGTGACAGTCATGTTGGGCGCACTACTAGACAGCTTAGCCAACGTGTTGCTGAACATCTCCCATCATCGTGGTTTGGCAAAGGACAGACAAAAACAATCCGTAGCTCAATTTTGTCACATTTAATTGATAGTGGTCATGTAGTGGAGAAAACAAGAGCTTTCAAAGTAATTCATCGTATCCCACCGAATCTTTCAAATAGACTTCGTATTCGTCTACTGCACGCACACAACTGAGGCGAGAGTCATTCGAACTATTAAACCTAAACTACGTATTCAAAAGAAGTTCGTACAGCCATTATCCCTCCCTTGGCCTATTAAGACATAACCAACTGATTGCTTCTGCACCACCCCTTACTTATATTTTCAACCCCTTTCTAATCATCCCTTAATCTTATCACATCTTCATTAAAAATGTGTTTCATTTACTTCCCTTACAATCAATCTAGCATTACTTGATCCGTTCATTTGTTTTTCTTAGCCTTTATCGACTACTTCTACCTGAACATTTGTTTGTTTAATCATGCTGATTTTCGTTATTCGTGTTATCACAGATTGCTTCACCTTTTCATCCTTATTATTGATAAAACCATTATTATTATTATTATCATTACTACTATTATGACTAATTGCACAGTTTATATTCACCATCTTATTATACTATAGACAAAACACCATGACTGGTTTATATTTGAATTTTTATTTGTAAAGTTATGTAGGTATATTAGAGTTAAGCCTGATGAGATCTAATTGAAAGCACAATATTGTTGTATGTGTGTTGTCCTAAATGAGCTACCTAATCTATATGATCGACGGAAAGTCATGTGTAACCATATCTCATACAGAAGTCCTTGTTTAAGTTCGAAATGTCAAAACACGATTTTATGTCACCTACAGACATAGAGTTCATGCAATAATCTAGGTATCTAGGAGTCGGTTATAATGCGGAGTGAAAATTTCATTTTTCATATTGATTTCATACTCAATAGTTTCTGATGTGCAGTAATGGCATATGCCTCTTTTATTCTAATACTCCTCGTTTGAATAAAGAGAATTTATTTCTATGCAGTGCAATAAATTCTACGTAATTCTCCAGAGTGAGATATATAAACGTATATAATTATGCGTGTAGACTGATTGACTAAACATTCACGAGATCCAAACACAATTTTTTTTCAATAAGAAGAACATTGCGAAATGGTCGCGCTATGTCGTGAATTGGCAGAAGTTAGAATTCAAGGACCATTGGATCGGGTCCCAGTGGCTCAATGGTCTACGAGCTCGCCTTGTAACCAGAAGGTCCTGGGTTCGAATCCCGGTGGGCGCCTACTGCTGAAGAGTCCCAAACTAGGACGAAACAGCTGTCCAGTACTTCCTGGTGGGTTTTCCAGTGGTTCTCTAACTGATGTCAGCTCATGATGAAATCCTCCACGCAATTAAACAACTGGACAGCTGCTGTTTCATCCTAGTTTGAGCAGCTATCCAGTACTCCCTGGTTTTCAATGGTTCTCTAACTGATATCAGTCCGTGATCAACTCGTAAAAGATAACTAATCCTTACAAACTAAACTATAGAAAACATCATTTATTAACAGAAATGTACTTCAAGTGTTGTTTTGCTGGGATTTCATTGATTTCAGGATTTCATCACGAAATGACATCGGTTAGAGAACCATTGGAAAACTTGGAAGTACAGGACAGCCGTTTCGTCCTAGTTTGGAACTCTTCATCAGTAGGCCTTCACTGCCAGGATTCAAACCCAGGACCTTCTGGTTCTAGAATAAACCACATTTTCTCTCACACTGGTCGTTTTTCATCTGACGTACTACAATGCATAGCATTAACTTATCATTTGAGGAAAAAACTAGCTTGGAAATACGTACTCAAACATAAAATATTGATAGTTATGCATGCCCACTTGATGTTCAGACATTTTGCACCTCGCATGTACTCTCTGAGGTGTGTTTTAGTTAATATTTTTTATTTTTATTTTGATTACAGCTTGATTCCACACCGTATTTTCAGTACAAGTAGGGAATTTTCAGCATGGATATCGGTAGCCCAAATTTACAGGCCGACCATAGATATCGGGTATGCGCCGGCAGTGGATCGAACCCCGGACCGTGTGCATGGTCGGCGAGAGTCCTAACCACTGTGCCACCGACGCCACCGAGTTTTCGCTGTCCTGCAAGACGACATCTTCAGAGCTCCATTTTAATGGGGCATTCAGATATTTGTTTGACTAATTTTTCTTTTTCAGACCCATCCATGCTAGTCAATCAACAGTCTCTTTATACATGAAACACTGATGCAATATTTCATTATAAATCTAAGTGGCATGTATGGTTAGTTTTGTGTCACAGTGATTTCATAACAGGCAGCAATCCCATTGGAGAAAAAGTGTTTTCATTAAGCCATATAACATTCACTAATATTTAATATGGATCTGAAATTGACCTATGAATGATCAAGAATTCTAAATATTCCCAGTGTGAATGTTATATTCTAGACACAGATTTGGTATATTTACTTAGTTTCGCTTTAATATATCTAAAATAGTTGCAGGGATGTACAGCGTTTCTACGAAACTGTTCTAAAACCACATATATCACAAGACTAATTGAAAAATGTGAGTTGTGAAATAGTCTGTCCCTCTTTTTAAGGTTACTTGATCAGAGTGAAATTTTTAAATAATATTTCCCTTTATCATTTCACAGAATCAGTTCATTCTGGTTGTCTAATTTGAATATATATATTTGTTTTATAGGAATGTTATGAGCAACACAACAATTTGTTATATCGACTCTATAATAATGGAAGTGGTATACCCGGAAATGGTTATGTACTTATTGTTGATGCAGATGAAAGTGATTTGTGCGTAGGTTCAACAGCAGCATTTGCTGCATCATGTCACATGGATCCTAGAACTGACAGGTAATTTACTGCATGCTAAAACAATAGTTTACTGTTTACATGACTTTTAGATCTACAGCTTTACTAATTTCTAGGTTTTTTTAAAAAAAAGAATTCATTTGTTAGTTACATGATGTATGTATTACTGAGAAGCTAATGGTGTCGATAGGTGTCGCATCCCTATTCATTAATGTACCACTTATGAAGACTGTGAAACTCGTATACTAACAGACACTAAAAAGGTAGAATGATGTAGGAATCGCAATTCTTAGTCTCAAAAAGCTGCTTCTAAGATGCATTGTATAATATACAATTCACATACACCAACATCTATTACAGATGGATAAACTGCACACATAACACATCTGCTTCCGACCCAGTACCTAGGGATATTTTGTTAAACAAGCTTGCTGAAACTCAAACTGACTGTTGGGTTGTCAAATGACTGCATTCTTATTTCTCAGGAAGAAAGCAGTACACTCTATGTCAGGGGAAGTCGTCCACTTTACTCTTTACTGAAGCTGGCGTCCCTCAAGGCGCTGTTCTTTCTCCTTTTCTGTTTTCTTCCTTCTTGTATGACTTGCCTCATTCTGATGAAATGAACTTTGTCAAGTATGCCGAAGATCTTACTACTTTAATGTCTGCTAACTCCCAGCTAGACTGTACTAAGATGAATAGCTTTCTATCAGGCGTTAGCGAATGTTCTTCGTCTAATGGTTTTAAACTAAATCCTTTAAATCTCAGACTGTTAATTTCAGTTTTGGATGTAAAAGAAAGTTAAATGAAGCTGTTAGTTCCTACGACCGTTGCAAAATTGATGATAGTGATATAGAAGTCAAGTCTGAAGTTAAGTATCTTGGATTAATTCTTTCTTCTGACCTATCCTGGTCTTCCCATGTCTTGGAGATTTCTAAAAGAATATTTCGTCTGACTTTTTGCATTAAGAAGTTAAGGCACTCAGGCATAACTCAATCCCTCCTCCTCTTACATATTGTCAACTCGTGCATCTTACTTACTCTTCTTTACTGTTCAACCTTATTCTTTACTGGATTACTTAAAAAAGACTATGCGATACTTCGTAGAACTTTGAAGACTGTCAGTAGGGCGAGTGGTATCCCATTAGGCCACATCGTTGGCATTCTCACTGATAGGCATCTGATGTCATGCAAAAATTTGCTAAAGGAATTTTGTCAGACTGTGAGCATCCATCGCAGCACCCGCAGCTCCCACCTTGTGTCTCCTCAGCTAAAACAAGAAGTCATTTCAAAAAACTTTATGCACGTACGTCTAAGCATAAAAATTCCACGACGCTATATTTGGCGGCACGTATTTTATGTAATGGAAATAGTGTCAGGGACGAACTAACCAACCTTCTTCGCACTAGTAAATAAACCATTTTCTGCATCCTTATTCCACCAAGCTTTATTGTTATTATTATTCTTATTTTGTAGTCCTCTCAGTTTTCGATTATTTTCTCATAAGTGTTAACATCATATAAACTGTGTAATAACTATTATATATATATATATATATATATATATATATATATAGTGACAAATGCTGAGAATTCCATTCTGTATTATAAGTACTGTTTTTGGAATAAAGTAGATTATAATTATTATTAAGACTCATTCTGCATGACGCTCGATTCTGGCAAGCGTTTTCCTTGATAAGTTTGAAAATGATTCATTGAAATAACTAGTGGGTAATCCGGATCCTTACTGTCTTTATAATGTTGATTTGTTTACCATTCCTGATCAGAAAACAGAGAAAAACGGGATGCTTATAAAATTTAATGATGTGCATCCGTCACTTATTTTTACCTGTGAAGCAGAAGGAGATGGAAAATTGCATTTCCTTGATGTCCATTTAAGCAAAAGAGATGCTTTACGCAAGAGAGACATTTACAGAAAACTGTCTTTTGGACAGTATACAGATTTCCTCAGTTTCGTACCCATCTGATACAAAAACAATCAGTGAAACGCCTCACGAATGAGAGAAGGATCTGTAATGATTATACGTGCATAACGCACTGGTCTAAACGGGTTATCATAGTGGAGTTGCAAGGAGACATATGAGCACTGAGTACATGCAAGAAAGAGAAACCGAAAGAATTGTTTCTGAAGATTCGGTTCATTGTAGAGGTGGCTAGTTCTACATCTAAGATTATCAAGAGCCATAAAAGAAGGACTTACACTACTGCCATGATTCCTTTGTCATTTTTCAGCCACCCAGGTATGGTTACCAGACGATAAGTGTACAGTAAGCCACTAAGTCTTTCCCCGTTTGTGTGCACTAACATATTTAGCTGCTCACCTGGGGAAAGCTATGTAGCACAAATAACTAGACAGCTTAGCAAACGAATTAATAAGGATTTTCCCTCAAGGTTCTGAAAAGGTCAAACAAAATCTATAAGGGAGTTTACCTTGTTTCGTTTAGTTGATAGCTGTCACTAAATTATGCACAGTTATGCAGGACGAAACTCCTTCTGAATGGGTAAGTTTCACGTGTGTTTTTAATAATCTTCCATATGTAAGGTAGATATTTCTTTTATCTCGAAAGGAAGGTGTAAATCTGTATTTTCTATTTTAGACCTAATGTTGGATACATGAACTTATGTCCAAGTCAAATGGATCTAACATATCCAAGTGGTAAAGCTTTGCCAGGAATTATGATCCATGAAATTGGTCATGCACTGGTAAGCATATTTTCATTTTAGCTTATGTAATATCAGGTGTCAAATACAATGAAGTTAGAAAGTTTCTTGGAAATTTGAAATGACGTCTGAATAAATTACTGTTGTATGAACACGCCTATATTTGGCATTCATAACAACATGATTCACATACCTTGCAGACATTGTTGTTTGTAACATAGAATTGATTAAAGATGCCCATTAGAAATTCTCTACGCATCATCATCGAACAAAGCATAGAATGGAAGTCAAACCACTAGCTCAACTTCATCGACTTCGAAAAGACTTTCGATAGACAGCGTTGACCGAGAAGTAATGTGGAAACTATTTCAACACTATGGCGTTGCCCAAATCTTTATCAACCTCATTCAACAGCTGGCTATATGACAATGCCACGTGTCAAGTGATCCACAACGGAAAACTCAGCGAGGCGTTTGAAGTGCATACAGGAGTAAGACAAGGCTGACTGACTATTATCACGCACGATGATACTCCTAATTGTGGTGGACTGGATTATGCGTCAGTCTGTGCAAAAGGAGCAAAGAGTCAGCAGTATGCTGGACCACCGATACGAAAATTCTGGAAAATCTGGATTTCTCAGACGATATATATCTAATGTTACACAAACTCGAAGACTTACAGGCGAGCGAAAACCAACAAACTGGTAGGAGAGGCTGGTGCCGAAAACAGGACTCCAGGTGAACACAGAGAAGACGAATGTGATAAAAGTAGCCAATCAACAGTAACAACAACAATCAGCAATCATCATCAACTGGAGGGATTTAACAGAGGTTGCTTCGTTCACTTATCTGGGAAGCATCGTTCCAACTTCAGGCGGAACAGACGAAGATATCAAAGTCAGAATCGGAAAGGCAAGATAGGCCTTCATCAACCTGAAGCCAGTTTGGAAATCTTACGTTGTCACTCAGCATAAGGAACAAGATTCGCATTTTCAACACCAGTGTCAAGTCAGTCAGTGTTTCTATACGGGTCTGAAGCGCGCACTGCGTGTCAGTCACGAAAAGGACTTCCAACAGGTTGCAGACTTTCATCAACAGCTGCCTTCGCTGGTTCCATACTGAAGATCAAATGGCCAGCCAGAAAGAATTAGCAACAAGAAACTCTGGCTGGGAACAAACCAACCAAGAGCCGATCGCTCAACAAATATGCAGCAGAAAATGGAGATGGATTGGACATTCGCTGAGGAGACCGCCGAATGACATCGCACGCCAGGCCAGTGCTCGAGTGGAATCCAAATGGGAGGTGACGAGTAGGTCGTCCTAGGGTGACATGGAGGAGATCGTGTGAAGAAGAGATGAGAGAATTTGGTCAATCGTGGTCCCAGATGAAGATGACAGTAGAAAACAGGACGAAGTGGAGATGTGTTGTTGAAGCCCTATGTTCTACTCGGAACGCAAGGGAATAATAGTAATAATATAATAATTAGAAATTCTAAAGGAGTGAACAAAGAATATTTTACAGTTTTATATCCATAATATTGCAAGAAATATAGTTACTGACAACATGAAAGTTTCTTTTAAATAAAGCATAATTATTGACACCAAAATTCAAAAGCTTACATGCGAACACACTGTTATAGATTACAACACTAAATTGAACACCTATATTCCAAAATAAATGATCGTGAATAACAGCCAATATATGGCGATCCAATGACTCAAGTACACGCTATATATATTCAAAAGAACTACGTCCAGCCGCTGTCTGTACCATGGCTTTCATTAAAAATCAATCCTCTCAGTAGTGATTATCCTACTACCTTTCCTATCTTCCTGTTTATTATCACGATTTTTAAATCCTATCTGCATTACTATGTCTTTTCAACCTAACTGATTGTCTATTTTTATTACTACGGTTTTAATTCCTAATTATACAAAAGGTCCAATTTCTCAGTAATCATGATCCTATCATGGTTTATATCCGATCTTCCTGTTTATTACACTTTGTAGTTTTATTAACTTGACCACTGACCGGAAATAGTGCTGGAACTTCCTTACCCATTCATTATTAGAAAACGAATGTACAGTCTAGCTGATGACTTCGTCGTTGAACCTGTTTCTTTTGCCCCCAGAGCTTTGGTTGCTTTAAGCGAATTGTAAAAGCCTTTGCTGTTTGGATTATTTGGTGCATTTAGTTCGTTAGTCTTACTCTAAACCCCTCCAAATGCCAAACAGTCAATTTCACCTTTAGGCATAAATCCGACCTAAACAAACTGGTTGGCTCTCACGAGGTATGCAACATAGATGGCACTGAAATAGAAACCAAATCAGAGATTAAATACCTAGGCGTCATTCTATCTGCTGATCTCTCCTGGTCGTCTCATATCTTAGCAATTTCTAGGAAAATATTCCGTCTTACCTTCTACATTAAGAAGTTAAAACATTCTGGTACAACCCAACCCTTACTCCTACAATTCGTTAATTCTCGCATCCTGCCTATTATTCTCTATTGTTCCCCCTTAGTTTTTCCAGGGCTACTGAAGAAAGACTATAACATATTACGCAGGATGTTAAATGTTGTCAGCAGAGTAAGCAACGTGCCACTTAACCAGCTTGTTAATATTTTGGTTGACAGGCACACGGACTCATGTGAAAAATGGGCCAAATCCATTTTATCTAACTCACACCACCCTCTTCACTCACAACTCTCCCCTTGCATCTCATCAGGTAAAACCAGAAGCCAATATAGAAAACTATATGCTCGCACCAGCAAGTACAAAAACTCAACCATACCCTACTTAGCTCGTGTTCTGTGTGATAAAGAAAGCATTAGGCGTGACACCTATAATTCATTAAATAGTCATTAGTACAACTGGATCTCGTCTTTCCAACCCACTTCATCAATAGGTACAACATTTCCTTTCTTTCTGTTCCTTTTCTCTCTCTTCTTTTTTTCCGTTATGTGCTGCTTTGTCTCTTTCTCTCGCTTACGCCAGTTAATAAGACAGCTCCCACTTTTCTAACACCTTCAAACACTGTTTCAGCTTTACCTTTGCTACTGAACATGCCAATGTATTGTTGTAATAATGAACTGTGGTTTCCTCAATCTATGTAGAATTCTATTTATTGATAATGTGCTAACTGGATGCAATACTGTAGTAAAAATGCTGAGAATTCCATTCTGTATCACAAGTACTGTTTTGGAATAAAGCAAATTATTATTATTATCCAAGGAAGTGAAAGACTCTTCAATATAGCCAGCTTTATGGCTTGTTTGGACGACGTGATCTAATATCAAACTGTTGATGGTTTTAACTACACCTGTATTTAGTCACACTAGTAGGGGTTATCGAGCACGGAAAATTCATTTGGATATGGTGTTTTACTTATGTAACTTTTATTATCTTGCAAATAAATCTACATGGATATGCTAAATATGCACTTTTCATATTTCAGGGATTCACATCCAGTAGTTTTCCATTTATGCGTGATTCATATGGAAGTCCTCGAACTCCTAGAGATGGGCATAATAAGCCAATATATAGAGACAAATATGGAGATTATATTCCAAGGTAATTTCTTTACACAAAAATTTCTTTGAAATGCCTCTAAAAAGGAGCGAATTAACTTTTCAGGTAATGTACTAACATGTATGTTTATAAAAATGTCTTCGTTATATCAGCTGTCATACATATGATTAGAAAAACATTCATTCCACCGATGTTTTTATTACTGTGATTGTATCACTGTTTGCATTTAAACCTTAGCTCATTTTCTTTATTTGTGACATGGTTTCGTCATAGTCAATCTACCGGAAGTTCTAAACACAAGCTCCTTGTTTTTGTTAACACACGTCGATAAGGCATAATTGTAACCCCTAAAAGATATTAGCCTTCGTCACCCAGCCCTCTAATCAGGCGCATTACCTCTGGCCTAATATGAAATAGATTCGCCCCGGTATAAACATGTTGATAAGTCTACAGAGTGCGACAAACATCATGTTGTCTAGTCTCTTAATGGTGGCAGCATTCGATAAGTCTCTCATCCTGTCAGTGTATAAGCTTGGAGCTTATTACCCACTCACTGTAACTATCTCGCATCAAATCAGCTGCACAACGGTGGTGAACAAACTAGCGTCTGCTGACACGGGAAACTTATAGGGATTATTCAGTCGCACTGTGAACCAGACCATATGATAATGGTTCCTTTTCATCCATGAAACAACGTATTTTTCCGTTACACTTTTGTTCAGTGATACCTATTCCTATATTTTTTATAAAATAATGGACGAAATATTCTTATATTGAGTCATTAGAAAAAGACGTAAACAGCGAAGAAAAGTTTCTTTTCCACGATTCATTTTCATAAGCTGTATTTTTTTTACTTTTTTCCTTCACTTTTCCCAGTGGAATATAGGGCTTCAAGGTTGTGGCTTGAAGTTTCTTAGCAATGTTTATTTTACAGGATGGGGTTGCTAGCCTCATGTCCAACCTTTCCTCTTCACCAGTATTATTTCTGGCTTAGCGAGGTAAAGGAGTGCGTCGGCTGGGGATCGAACCCCGGACCATGTGCATGGTTGGCGAGCGTCCTAACCGCTATGCCACCGACGCACCATAAGCTGTATAATCCTGATTATATTTAATAAAAAGACTATAAGACCAATCAGATACTGTCCTCGAAAAAGCATTACGTAAAGTAAGGTGTGACCTAGAAGGGGTGACAGAATGGAAATTAGAAAGGAGGCAGAATTCGGCATGACGTAATAAGTGTGAGTGTGTAGAGTGGACAGGAACTAGTGGAAAGACGACGAAGTGTTTTTACAAAATTTGTATGAAAACTCAATGTTATTAATAAACAGCAATATTTAATAGTGTGAAATATTCCCATATCATGAATTAAAAGTCAATCTGAACGAAGAATATTCATTATAATAAAGGTTTTTGTATTTCCCAATGAATGAAAAACAAAACGATATTGCTTTTACTGACATTTCGCTATTTAATGCTGCTAATAGCTTTATCAAAGTATTATTAAATCGGAATTTACAAAATCTCAGCATATATATATTAGAACAAGACATATAAGCGAACAATATTGTTTTCAATTAGATCTTCTTCAGGCTTTACTCTAATTTACATAGATTTATATATAAAATTTTAACCAATGACGGTGATTTTTAGGAATCAAATAATAATCTTAATAGTCTTAATAATAATAATAATAATAATAATAATGTGGTAAATGTTTTGAACATAGTTAATAACGATGATTATAATGATAACAAAATATTGATAATAAGGTTTATGCATAAACCTTATTATCAATATTTTGTTATCATTATAATCATCGTTATTAACTATGTTCAAAACATTTACCACATTATTATTATTATTATTATTATTATTATTATTAAGACTATTAAGATTATTATTTGATTCCTAAAAATCACCGTCATTGGTTAAAATTTTATATATAAATCTATGTAAATTAGAGTAAAGCCTGAAGAAGATCTAATTGAAAACAATATTGTTCGCTTATATGTCTTGTTCTAATATTTTAAATGATATATATATATAACAAACAGTTAGGGGGTGAGAAAATAGACTTAGGTCAAGTTAAAGGGACATATTGAAAGTAAAAATAGCGATGAAGATAACTAAACCAAATAACAAAGGTAATAGTACGTCTGTTATGATATCAAAATAAAGTTTACTAACTTGATCATCGTTCTTCCGTCTGGGGGCATTTTTAGCTGTCAAGTTGGTCAATTGGAAAAGATAACAAAATCAAGTGTGGATTGTTGGATTTGGTCAGTGTGTAAAATTAAAAAAGTAGTGTTTGTTTACATAGTGAACTTGCATATTACATTCGTGCTGATTTTGTCAATTCATGGGGGAGGGAGGTGGTGTAACCAGGTCAGATTCTGTTTTAGTCCATCATCCCTATTCAGGCGATTTGGAAGAATATTCTTCTCAATAATTTCTCCTCTTCAGGTTCTTACAATTATAAAATTTAATGTTTGTTGTTGTTACAATAATGACCAGTTATGCGGCGGATATATTTTAGACAGAATAACAGATTAGTTATGGGGTGTCAAAATAAATAGTCGTATTTGTGCGACAAACGTGCTAGGCTGAAATCTACTACAAAATATTGTAAAACGGGAGACAATAGTGGTGTGGGGTAGGAAAATTGGCAAGTCAGATCTAGGTTATAAAAGGTGTCAGGTGAGTGGCTAGTACAAAGTGGTCTGTGTTAAACAGGAGATAGTAAGACTGCAATGAGATTTTCATAATGAAATATCCAATGTGTGAAATGAAACAGGAGGACGCATTTATTGAGAAAAGACTCACCTGACACCTTTTATAACCTTGATCTGACTTGTCAATTTTCCTACCGCACACTTTACGAATCTATTATGACTGTCACCATCATTGTCTCCCATTTCACAATATTTTGTAATCGATTTCAGCCTAGCACGTTTGTCACGCAAATACTATTTCGACACCCCGTAACTAATCTGTTATTCTACGTAAAAATGTATCCACCGCATAACTGGCCATTATTGTAACGACAGTAAATATTATATTTTATAATTGTAAGAACCTGAAGAGGAGAAATTATTGAAAAGAATATTCTTTGTTCAGATTGACTTTTAAACAACAATAGACTGATAACAAAATATGGATGATGAGAATAATAATGATAATGAAACAATAATAACAGTAATAATAGTAAACTTACACAATATAAAAGAAGTAAAACTATAGTAAGAACCTTACTGTGGCCACGGTAGCTCCAGGGAATGTATGTAGTGCTTTCGAATCCAGAGGTCCGGTTTCAAATCGTGAATAGCCAATGATTCATCTATATATATATATATATATATATAGATGACGTATTCTATGTCTTTTTGTAGGATATTGAGGGATTCTGTCTAGTACTATGAAGCATTCATGCGGGGATGTTCGATGTCCAGAGTTAACGGTGAAGTTTCGCTCTCTTTATTAAAACAGTTGGTATGTGGGAGGTGATTTATATTTGAATTACTACAAACTTGCCAACGAAGAAGGAGATAGAATGACTTCCAACCACACAGTATACGAGAAATCATTCGCACAAATATTCAAACAGCATATTCCAATCTTAAATCTTCATAAAGATACAATGAAAATAATTTGTAGAGAGAAATTATTACTGTATTTTGAAAACTGAAGGTTGAAAAGTGAAATTATAACTGTGGTACCTATGAGACGATCAAACATTTGCCACTATACTAATGGAAAATTTTATGCGTATGTCGGTGTTTTAGATGTTGTGCCGATAAAACATAAGAAATGCTAGTGTATATTCGGTTATTGAGATTTCATTTGATGAGAAAATTTATACCTAACTGTAGTAAACATAACGACCAAACTTCACCGAATTCGGTAAACAAAAGTTTAGTAATCAAAGCTTTAAAAGTCATATATGTTCAAATTAAAATTACCATACTCATTTTCACCCTGGTCGTGTTGAAATTAGTAATCAACTGAATGTATTTTGTAGTAACAGTACAATCAAAAATATCAGAAGACGTTGGATAAGTGCTGCAGGAAACTACACGAAAACTATTGGATCTTTTGTCACTCCAAAAATATTGGTAAGTTGCTGGGATTGAATGCCAGTTGATTCATACAAGTGCTGTTAAATATACAGTCAAGATAAGATGAAGTAAGCTTACTCAGCCAAAACATGCTACTTTGATTTATCACTGCCTATTTTAGCCTTTACCTTAATAAAATGAATGGATGGGCATCAGTGTTGTAATCTGCTCCCAATTTATTTCGAACATCCGTAATATTTTAATGAGTTAATCGATAACTGAGTAAGGTCGTTCTTTTTTCAGGAGGGGTTAACCTTTATGACTTCGTGTAAGTAGCTGATATATTCACTGTGACGTTGTTTAAACTAATATAAGACCTACACAGCACAGAGTATGGAAAATACTGAGAGAACAAGGGTGATCACGGTTTTGTTATTTAATGGCTACATGAATGTTCGATGAGCTTAGTCACAAAATATAAACATGAATCTTAAATACGTATCTCAGAAATAAATACATTCTCATGTGAACAACTACAACTCTTATCAGAATTCTTAAATCTACTTTGAATGAATTCTAAGCTAGTTGATTGAACTGTTCAGGGTTCGTTCCGTGTTTAAAGTACAAAAATTCAAACAAATTGAAGGCGCTGTCCTACAGAAAATCTTGTTGGAATTCCTAGGATTTATTTAAATTTAGGAAGCTGTTCTACTTTATGGTAGAAAGTTAAGTCTTACACACATATTACGGAGTTAGCGGTTCCTAATTTATACTCAAACTAATACAATTACATTGTTTTTTCTTCTGTGTTTCAGTACTTATAATAATGAAAATAAAAGTTATTTTTGATTATCAGATCTTCGCCAAGAACCAACATCGGTTAGAGAGAACAGTGAAAACCAGCCAGGAGCACTGGAAAACTGCTATATCCTGGTTATGTCTCTTCATCAGAGTGCACCCATGACCCCATGACCTTCAGGTTACTGAACCAAGCTCGTTGGCTATTCACCACTTGGGTTGCAATTCAGTGACCCTTGAATTCTAACTGTGTCAAACCGTGATCTAGTGATGCTTTCATCAATGCCTTCAATGAACAGACGCTTCACCTTGACTTAGCGGATCCCACTGGTCACCACAGCTTCGGAGAATCTATCCAGTCACTATCACTTAGCTGGAGAGTGATGTTCAGATTATAGGATTTGTGAGAAGTTTCGATCACTTGCAATGGACAGATTTTCACTGTAAACCAAAATTATCCGAAATCCCCCATAAGTCTGATAACCTAAGAAGTCATTTTCACTGGAAGTAAACATTATAATAAGTGGAGAGAAATTGCAGAAACAAAGATAAATTTCATATGAAATGTCTTCAAGATTTGACAGAATAGTTCTAAAATATTTGGGCGCCGAGTGAGAAGTAGACATTTGTAAAAAATTATATTTGTAAAATCTCAGTGAGATTGAAATGAGTAATTCTAACGTTTCGTTCGGTAAACTGGTCCGAACTTCTTCAGGGAAATTAATCGAAATTAACATAACAGAGGTTTATATACAAAAAAGACATCTCTTGTTTTTTAAAACCTTAGTCCAATCATGAGTCATAAAACATATATCATCATGTATAATAAACAAAATCTGATGCTCACTAGTGAGTGGCCCTATTCAGGCAGTTAACTTGGGGTTCTAGTGGGAAGCCGTGACCAGTAGGGTACAGCAGGTTAAAGATGTGACAGTAACTCATCTAAGAAGACATTGCGAAATGGTCGCGCTATGTCGTGAATTGGCAGAAGTTAGAATTCATGCACTAGCCATTGGATCGGGTCCCAGCGGCTCAATGGTCTACGAGCTCGCCTTGTAACCAGAAGGTCCTGGGTTCGAACCTTGGCTGTGGGGGCGTACTGATGAAGAGTCCCAAACTAGGACGAAACAGCTGTCCAGTACTCCCAGGTTTTCCAGTGATTCTCTAACTGATGTCAGCTCATGATGAAATCCTCCATATAATTAAAATTGTATGAGCTATGATCAAAATTTGACCTCGGACTTACAAATATTGGTCTAATTTTGTTAAATACTTTAAACAGAGTGTACTTTTCATCAGAATTTTAGTGATTACGTTCGACTGAAAGATCATGGTCCTAGATAAGTGAATAGGAAAATACAATAGTGTGTTTATGTGTGTGTGGGCAAACAGTTATAAAACATTTGTTAACGTCTCCATAAGAAGATATAGACAGTCGGAAATTTCGACCCAGTGTTATTAATTAGTGATACATATCCATTTTTATTTAATAATTAATCAGGATTCTCTATGCATCAGCTAATATCACACCTTCATGCCTGTTCAAACTGTTAGTATCTGATGATCAGACGTATTTTCAAAATTATGGTATTTAGGATTAGAGTTTATTTGAAGTACCATGTCGAACTTATTGCTTTGTCTTCTTGAAGATTGAGCTGCTTTATTCGACCTACTGGAGTTGTCAGGTGACTCGGCAGCTATGGATTTAGGATATGCATTCTGTTGCAGACAACGGAGAGTGAAAACACGATGACTGTGCCAATTACATATAGTTTCTTAGTATTTGTTTTATTCTATTTTGAGATTATTGAGAATATAATTACTCATGAGTTCAGTTAAAGTTCCTGCTTTTTGAACTTTAATTCACTACCTGTTGTAATAAGTTTCCATTCCTGTGGTTAATAAAGCTACATGTGAATGTATCTATTGTTGATACTTGATGGTAACGCATACTGTGAAAATTAAAAAGCTTCAAAGTAAAAGACAACGAGATTATGACAGAGATAATGAATATTAAGTTACCCAGTTATCACTCGCAAACAATTTAAGAGTTTTAAATCTGCACCATTGCCGTACCATGCAGACATTATAAAATTTTGATGGTTCTCTGGATAATATGTTTTTCATGTCTAGACCTATTTTAATGTTCATTGAATCTCCATTAAATCAAAGATAGTGTCATTATTTAATTTTTAATTTTAGGATGCTGCCAGGAGATATTTTAATTGTCGTACTTTAGATGGAGTTGATTTAGAACACTACAATATAATAGGATCGGTTGGATCTCACTGGGCTACAAAAATATTAGGAGTAAGTTAAACAATAATGACAAATTAACTTTTTCTACTGATGCCTTTTATATAATGAATGTCCGCGCTGATTTTGACATTCTGAATTTTTTAAAGTTTAGAAAACATTAGAGAATTGAACTCGTCCTATCATGCTTAAAATCAAAACGATTTTTCCAGCGCCATTGTAGAAATTAAACCTTATAGTATCCTATGGAAGATAAAAAACTACATTGAGAACGTTCCCTTTCAACAGTTGATTGAACAAGGCTGATTATTTGCTTATAACTGCTGATTAGCATATGCCATATGTCAAGTGTTGGTTTGCAAGGAATTGAGTGGTTATAGGACTGATCACGAGCTGATATCAGTTAGATAGCCATTGGAAAACCTGGGAGTTATGGACAGTCATTTCGTCCTAGTTTTGGGACTCTTCATCAGTGTCAGTAGGTCGTTACTTGGGTTATAGTAAGAAGTCGTGACAAGTGGGGCACAGCAGGTCCGGTTGGAGGACAAATACTCGCTGAAGACATTGCCCGGTGGTCACGCTACATCATGAGTTGGAAGAAGTTGGAATTCATGGATCGGTGCCTGGTGGTCTACGAGCTCGTCTAGTAGGTGGAACGAGCTGGGTTTGAACCCCTTGGGGCCTGAAGAGTCCCGAACTAAAACGTAATAGCTGTCCAGAACTCTCACGTCTTCCAATGGTTCTCTAACTGATGTCAACTCATGACGAAATCCTGTAACCACTCAGATGGCCGCAAACCAACCCCTGAATAACAAGCAAAGAGATATGAATTTTTCAACACAAATGTGAAGTTAGAGCTTCTTTATGGTCCAAAGAATTTGTGCGTGTCAACAGAAACATTCCGAACAAGCTGCATACTTTGACCAGCAGCTGTCCATGCTTAAGGTCAGTTGGCTGGCCGAAAAGGGTTAGCATCAATGAACTCTTCCTAATAGAGAACCAGCCAAGAACCGCTTGCTCGACGGATGTGCAGAACGAAATGGAGTTGGACAGATTGAACCTGGTGATATCGCACGTCAATTTCCAGAGTGAAAGCCGAGTGGAAAGTCAGAGATGAGTGTTGGGTCCGCGTAAGACATAAAAACCATGCGAGGACGAAATGAAAGATTGTTAAAAGTCATACAGCTAGTTGAAAGTGACTTCACAAAACCGAACCCAGTAGAGATGTGTTGCTGGAGTTCCGTATCTAAATCAGATAAGACATGCAGAACTTGCATTAAAATTAGCAATGAGTTGTAAGTATATATTTGAAGCCGTTAAACTACAGGGGAATCATCTCCCGGCATTATCCATAAAGCAAGTCGTAATAATTCACAAATAGTTACTAATATTTTTCAACATATTTCTTAGGGTTTTAAAAGCATCTAAAATTTTACTGGATTTAGAATAATATATTAAAAAATGTAGGATCTTGAAAATCCTACTTTGAATATTTTGGCTGTTCACTTTAAACTTTTTAATTTCAGACTGAAGTGATGGCACCAAGAATAATGATAGACTATGCCGTTTCTGAAATTACTTTAGCTTTCTTTGAAGATTCGGGGTAAGCAAATTCCACCGTTCATTTCTTCAGACTAAATGCGTGATAGACCCAGAATTATTCTGATACCTTTTAAGTGAAGTAGACTTTAATTATATGATGTAGAGGAAATCTTTACCGTCAAACCGTTTTGTTCATATTTAACTTATATTTCTTCTGATGGATTTTACCTGATATATGTATACATATATGGACAATCTAGACATATATTTAACCTGTAGATCTCAGTTTTCGTTCATTGTGGAGTCTTGGCTGCACGCAGCTAAACAGACTCAGTTAAGAAGAAGTCATCTATTCAGTGCTACATGTTTTACAATGATTCTCTAACTACCTCCTTGTAACCAGAATGTTCTCGGCTCGAACCCTGGCGGTGGGTGCGTACTGATAAAGAGTCTTAAGCCACGAGGACGGAAACAGCTGTCCAGTATCCCCAGGTTCTCCAGGGGTTCTGTAATCGATATCAGCTCATGATGAAATCCTGTAAGCAGTCAATCAAATCCCTGCAAACCACTATTTGAAAGTTATTGCTATTCAGTTACTAAATCATTCACGAAATCAAATCAGTACCCACAAACCATGGTTAATGACACCTTCTATATATTCTATTCTGAGCTATGGAAGTGTGAAATGACAATATCATCACTTCCAATCGGCGTGCTGAAACTGAAATTCAAGTACCGATTAAACATAAGAAAGCTATGGATACGTGTTGAATTTGAATATGATTTACTGAGAAAAATTGAGCATAATGGCCTACTTTTTTGGAAAAGAGTAAAAGTGAATGAAATCCCGTTGACTAGTGAGACTTGAACGAATTTCCAAGTACTCAATTTTCAAAGTTAATAAACAGCATAAATATGAAGACATCTGATATAAAGTTGTCGGACTAAAGACTTTGTCTATCTGTTATCGGCGTCAAAGAGACAAGGCTATTCAAATGATCTTACTGTAACCAAGATCGCGCGTCGGTGGTTTAGAGATGGAATGTCCATCAACCTCACACGTCATCTGAGGTTTGATCCCTAACTGACTTACTCATAAACCTCGCTTGGCAGGTAGTGAGTGCATTGTAGGGGGAACGCTTGGCGTGTGGTTAGCAGTCTCACCTCGTAAAAACAACACTACCATTACTGGAACTTAAAAGCTCAAGTCTGAAGACCTGTGTTCCACTTGGAACGGAAAGGAATAATTAAAAACAGACATAGTCCTAGTGTCTTATCCAAATAAATCCATCTGTCTTCCTTATACGCACGACACAACATCCACTGACAAAATAAAAGATTCCGGGAAATTCACATATTATATAAGCTTGGGAGAATGCAGGCATTTAGGTTTTATACTATATTTTCTATCGCCACGCAGATTATTCTATTGATGGTTTCTGTACCGAGGAGTAAATCAGGGGAAATTGTCAAATTTGTTTGCTTAATGAGTATATGTATTACTCCGTGAAATAGAATAAGTGAATACAAATGATTAGTACCTCAATCTACTTATATCGACAGGCAAATTTTAGTAGATTGTTGTTTCCAGGAATCTTTGTCTTGAATTTACTACTCAGTTTATTTTACCACTCAATGATTCAACTACTGTTCGTTTGAAATGTGAAAAATTAAACCTAGAGCTGTTCCGTCGCCCTAGCTGTAATGTGCTAAAGGGCGCTCAGTTACCCGCCTACAATATACACGTTTATGACTGTCATCACCTGATTTTAGCGTTAACACCTCGATCTTAGATGTGAGAAAGTAGATTTTACAGTGTTTTTCCGCTTGAGACAAAAATTCCGTAATATAGTCTCTTTCAAAAAAGCAGTAAACAGTTGTGATGAAGAAACACGGCAAACATCTATACAGTTTTATCTTTAATAGTACCATTAAGATGGAAGACTGTTTACTGGAGACAATAGTCTCACTGGTCACTGAAAAACTATCCTATTGATTATTTGGAAACTGATATTATGTGACGTGAATGATCACTGTATGTGTTATTTGTCAAAGGGTAGAGCAGGGACTCATTAGCTTCGGTAATTTGTGAGGAGGGGGGGAACAGTTGTGCTTAGCAAAGAAAAATATCCACACTACATTATGTAGTCCACTTGATGGCATAAGTGGAGACCAAGTCGGTAAGCAAAATACCATGGCCATACATACAGTTGATTGAATTCAATAGCCGAAAACCGCTCACGCCAAAATTTCCTCCCTTTAACGGTGTAATTTGTGAACGATGAATTTATTTTAAGTGTCCAGTTTTCAGAATAGATCCAACTTTGTGAATCGATTCCAAACTGGTGTGTGGCTGGATGAAAACATCATCAGTTGACGAGAACTACCGTCAAGTGTTCAGGTTACTTAGATCTGGTAAGCAAGTAACACTGTTTGGTGTGAATAATTCCTGACTGCTCATATCTAAAGACTAATATCCCTCCATAAAGAGTTTAACAGTTTGACTAGAAACACTATAGAGTGAATACGACACCTATTCGATTCAATATTACACAATAGGAAACAGTTTGGGAAATAAGTCAGGAGTAAATTTTACGAATATTAGAACCTGAAATGTGTGGAAAATTACTGTAAATTAAATATATAATCATTTTGACTTACCTGATTTTTTCAGATGGTACATAGTGAATTACAAAGCAGCAATGAACATGCAATATGGCAAAAATCTTGGATGTGACTTTGCAACTAAGAGTTGTTATGAATATGCGGATATTCAAAAGAAAAGGTAAGAATCTCTTTACTTCTTAATTTTCAAATCTTCCACAGAAAAATTCATCAAGAACCCACGTCATTTACAAAATCATCTAAATAGGGTAACTCTGAAAGACTATCCCGATTTTTAAAATTGACTAGAATATGAGATTTCAGTAAATGAAATATCCCCATATTGAAATCAAAACAAGATTTTGAGCGAACAATTGTTTTCGATAACTTCTTCTTTAGGCTCTACAGTTATAAATCCATGAATAATAGAGTACATATAGCCAATAAAGGCAAATGAAAATAATATCAGAAACCGTATTGGGGTGCATGTGTGAGTTGAGATGATAGTCCATTAGTTAACATAATCAATCAAATGTGTATAGGGTGTATAGTCAGAAAAATGTGATGAAGTGTGAATGAACAATTGGGTGATATAGTGCTGTTTTATAGTCAACAGAATACAAGTGTCATTGGGGTGAGAGAAATGCGATAGACACAAAATACACACAAATACACATTAACAAAGGGGACACTGAATGTGAGGGCTGACCGATAATGTCTAATGATAAAATAAAGAGGCTAAATTGTAAATTGTAATAAGATGTTATAGAGTTCGTAGGCTTAGTGTAAAATCACAAAGGTTGACAAAATTAAGGGTAACAGTGAGGTGAAATAAACTGGGTGGAGAAATGGATAATAAAGACATGATATCACAGAATGATAATAATGGTAATAATACGGAAAATTATGATCCTGGTGACCTTATAGTGGGCCAGGGTAGACAGAGGGAGTGAATAAGTTTTTTCTGCACACATAAGTCTGGTCTTTCTCTATTAATCTCTAAAGCCTCAGCTATGGCTAGGAGGCGTAATCGTGTGCCTTTGGGGAGATTGTTTCTTACTCGATACACAACTGTAAATGACTCTTCTACTTTGATGCTGTGTTCGCTATCCACTAGATGAGCCAGAATTGCACTATTTAATGATTTGTTCTCTCTTTTCCCAAGCCAGACCGGAATATGTCCACGAGTGCGTAAAGATAAATTGCTTTGGGTACGACCTATATAACTAGCTCCACAGGAGCAGTTGAATTTATATACACACATTGATGTCGTCATTTTGGGTAATCTATCTTTAATGCACAGTGTGAATATCGGTTTGGTTGAGAAAGTGACATACAGTTTTGTGGCACTGAAAGTTCTTTCAACTGCTCTTGTTAATCTACGGTTTAATATATCGCTGGATATATCGCCTTTGAATTGTAAATTTAAGTAAAGCTTTTTCTTACTTACTGTGTCTCGCTTAGTTTTGTGTGTAGTTTCATAGATATACTTCTTTACAAAGTTGGTAGGATAGTCGTTCTGCAGCAAGGCGTTTGTGAGATTTTTTATTTCATCTTCAATGCAGTCGTCGGTACATATGCGCCTAATTCTATGACTAAGACAACGAATTAGGTTGCGCTTATATTGTATAGGTATGAAGCCATGGAAATGGGTGTATTGTCCATTCCACGTCGCTTTCCTATAGATGTTACGCTTTAAGGTACCGTCTGTTCTCTTTGTATTCCATTTCTGGATGTTCCTTCAGCAAGGAAACAACCAATCAGAAGGATTTGCTCCTCCACTGACAATAACGTACATAAAAACCTACGAATATCTCTTGATTTTGCTCATTAAAGGATCTATTGCCTGGCCCTTGTCCTCTGTCGTTACACAATGATTTAAGTGCTACAGAAGATATAACAAATAACTAACTTATGCTTTCTAACCGTACATTTTAACAAAAATAAGTTTCCCTAATTTGTTAATACATATAAGGAAACTTGTTTAACAACAGATGCGTCGAATTATTCCGTCTTCATATGAACCACACAGTTTTATGCGATGCACATTCATGCAGAATCAGACTTTCATTGAAAATAACTTCTGATATGAGCTTAAAATCATACGTACCTTTGAGTCCTACTGTAATTCAAACAGATATGCTGTATTCAATAAACTTATATGGCTTCTATGAAAAATGTACAGTCATGTTCACGTTGTCAGATTTTCAACCATTTAAAAATTTTATTTTATACAGGCCTTTGATTTTTCGCTCGATTTTATTACATCCTTTTTACTTCAAAGGCGTCAAAAATTCATACCTTTCTGTGACAATAACCGTCAAGCAACGTGTAGAGATGCTTACTCTTATGGGATTTGCAGCATACGGATATACACTGATGGTGTACCAGCAGAAGATCAGTTTTTCAAAACACCACCTTATGCTTCTACTTACGGTGCTAGACAATTTGGAGGTGATGATCCGCATAGAGATTTTTGTCCAACACAAACGGTAGGTATATTTTAGAAAATTTGATTCTGTTTAAGATAGTGATTTTGACGGTGACAGAAACGTCTTATTGACAGACTAGATGACTTTATAGCATTACCTTCACAAGTGTAGCATGCTGTAGGTAGGTTTGTCTGAAGTTGATGATCTATGCTGAGTTGCATAAAGCGTTCAGGTCCTTCTTCAGGGGAAAAATGGTAGAGAAATTCTAAGTAATTAGAAATTATGTTTTATAAACCAAGAAAATGTTATTACTGTGATAGGTTATGGGTGGCAGAATAAGACGAAAATGCAACGGATACAGGTATGGTAGCTAAGAAAATTTCTACTGCATTATATATAAAATGCACCTCATTCTGACTGATTTCCTGGACATTCTATAGGTGCTTTCAATCAGTTGAATTGCTTCTATTTTTAAAAGTACAGGCAGCAACTTCTAGGAGAAATTAAAAGCACCGAAGAACAACTGTAATTTATCAAATATATTAGGTTTGAAGAAGGGGATAGTATGAGTAATGTGTTGATTGTTGAGTAGTAGAATGCGCACCATCCACGTACGTGGCCAGGAATTCGATCTCCCGCAAACGTCCGAGAGGTAGTAAGCCCGAAAAGGAGAGAAGGCTGGTCATGAGGCTATCAGCTACTCCCCGTAAGAAATAAGATCACTTCTACTGAAAATTCAGAATGCAAGCCTGAAGCCTTATGTTCCACTAGGCACGCAAAGGAATGATCAAATCTTCAAATGTTTCCTGTACTAGACACTTTTAAAGAGGAAGTACTTGGTAGAGTTCATACTGCGTGTTTTCCAGGTAGCCGGCAGAGCAGTAAATACCGTGAAATGTTACAAATCCCATCATTTTATGAATAACTTCAAAAGATCTGTTCTCAGATCCAATAATTCTTTGATAATTACCGATGTTCTTTAAACTTCGGTACATTACTTAATTCATTTTGAACTTCTCCATTGATTGACTGGATTGAAATGCTTGGTCTCAGGTTGACACGTCATCTCCTTGTGCAGATGCTTCGATAATGTCTGATTATTCAACGTGTATTAAATTAGTGGACAGTAACTGGCAGTGGAATTCAACATGTTCATTTAGTCCTATTCGCGACTCGTCAGCTGGATGAAGTGCGCATCCTGGATCCCACTACTCGTTACTATTCACCGATTTACTTTAGGCACATTAAACTTGATAACTAGCATTTAGCTGAAGTCAGTTTTAATTCTCGGCTTTTTATCCTTACAGTATGTAAGTAGCCTGGGAAGTGATTACAAAGCAACTTCTTTCTGCACTCATACTGAAAACATAGAAACATCAAGTAAGTAGTCTGTCAACTTTTTCAAAATGTCTTTTAAATTCAGTGCAGAAAACGTAATTATTGAAGGCATGAAATGTTTTTCTTAATGTGAATGTTGATTTTATTCAAAATAAACTTGTAAATTTTAATCTACAGAGTATTAAATACAGACAGTACTATCTAATACTAAGAACGTTGGAGTTCATATAAATTATGTTGACAACGATAATTTTGTCACTGGGACAGTATATTTTTTTAATTTTCTAGAAAGACTATTGCAGTACAGTAATAAATTTTGCTTCGTATCTGAAATCAGCATAAAATTTAAGTTGGGATAATGAATTCATCACTCACGAATCACATTTCGATGGTGAAGCTATTAGAGTTAAACCAAAATTATTCGGATTGTAATATTCAATCTGATTGATATCATAAGTGGCCATCAATAAAGCAAATGAAGTAATTTGATTTTATATACGATCATTTCATTAACTGATATGTGTAGTTTCATATCATTCGCGTCAAACTGTAGCTCTCTTTATTGAGATCAAGTTGTCCTCTATGCTGGATGGCCTTTTCGCTCGTTTGGAACTGCACCAGTCATCAGTATACCCGATTCTACTCATATCAGACTGCCGGAAAAGTACAAACCATCCAAATACAGGCTAGCCACCTGAACGATATAATAATGTTGGTATTATTATTGTTCCCATGGGTTCCTAGTGGAACACAAGGCTTCAACTGCACGCCTCCACTTGCTTCTGTCTTCCGCTGTACTTTTCACCTGCATCCATGTTAGTCCATACTGTTTCAGTTCCTCTTCACACGATCTCCTCCATGTCACCCTTGCACTGACGTCCCACTCGCCGCTTCCCTTTCGGGTTCCACTCGAGCGTTGGCCTGACACGCGATGTCACCCAGTGGTCTCCTCAGCGAGTGTCCAATCCATCTCTACTTTTTCCTGCATATTTGTTGACCGATTGGTTCTTGTTTTGTTTGTTCCCATAGCTTCTTGTTGGTGATTCTTTCCGGCCATCTGATTTTCAGTATAGAGCGAAGACAGCTGTTGATAAAGGTCTGCAACCTATTGGAAATATTCTTTGTGACCTGCTGGCCAAGTTTCTGATCCGTGTGGAAGAACTGACTGACTTGACGTTTGTATTGAAAATCTGAATCATTTTGTTGTTGATGCAGGCTGAGTGACGAAGATTTCCAGATTGGTTTCAGGTTGATGAATGTGTTTCTCGCCTTCCAGATTCTCGCTCGATTTGACATCCTCGTCCGTTCCTCCTGTAGTTGAGACAATGCTCCCTAGATAAGTGAATGAAGTAACCTTTCTCAAATCCCTCCCGTTGATGGTGATTGGCGCTGGATGTTACTGCTGTTGTTGTTGGTTGGTTATTTTCATAACCTCCGTCTTGTCTATGTTCACCTGGAGTCCTGTCTTCACCGGCTGCTTCTTCGACCAGTTTGTCGGTTTTCGCTTGTAAGTCTTCGATTTTGTGTGACATCAAACATAAATCATCCACGCGCGAAATCCAGGTCTTCTAGTTGCTTCACGCCGGTCCAGGATATCCCTGTCTTCTCGTCTCCCACTTTCTGACGCATAATCCAGTCCACCACAATTATGAATATTATTGGTGATAATAAGCACCCTTGTCTTACTCCTGTGTTTACTCCAGACGCCTCGCTGAGTTTCCCGTTGTGGATCACTTGACAGGTGCCGTTGTCGTAGAGCTGTTGTTAAAGTCAGATAGTTTGGCTTTCTAAAATTTATCGAGACGGATATACTTATGATAACCGTTGGCACAAACGAGTGAAACAGGTACTCAATTTATGGATCACTTCTGTTTCACTAGGAAACATCACCGTTTGATCTAAATATTTTTCAGCTACTAGTATCAAGTAACGCTGCATAGGATCACATGCATCCAGTTAATCTGTTGGTGGGCCAATGCTCAAAGTATTTTTTGTGTATAATATACCAAAAGTGACTTGACAAATATTGCAGAACTCTCAGCACACCCTATGTGCGTCGGTAGCACAGTGGTTAGAACTCTCGCCGACCATGCACATGGTCCGGGGTTCGATCCCCTACCGGCGCACACCCGATATCTATGGTCGGCCTGAATTTGGGCTACCGATATCCATGCTGAAAATTCCATACTTGTACTGTAAATACGGTGTGGAATCAAGCTGTAAATAAAAAAAAAAATAAAAAAAAAAAAATTACAAATTATTTACTCCGGGTTTAGAATCTTCACGTAAATTAATAATCCGTAATATATATCATCTGAAGCCGTGTTATTCAATCCAGAGTAAACTCTATTGACCTGTTTTTGCTTATTCTCTGTTTTCTTGACAACACCCATATCTGTAGGTTGAGTCCTACTTGAAAATAGGCGCTAGTACAGATTACAATTCAGAGATGCAAATGAATAATTAAAACAACATGCAAAAGAGTAAATAAGGTGTGATTTAATGGATGAGAAATTAGGTAGGTCAGTAATTTAAGTAGGCAGCTTAACATTTGCTAATTCTTGTGAAGGATTAGTTTTCCACGCTGTAAGTCATTGGAAACGGTTAATATCTAAAACTCTGAATTCGCGAGCTGCCATTGTCTGAGTCTCTATAATTAAGATCACTATGAATAATGCTGACGCGGAACACTTCTTTGCCTCATAGAATACCATCATTGCACTTAATAGTGTGTTAGGGATTTCATTGAATGTCTTTGTCATATTCGGGATGCAGATTAGCTAATAGAAGTGCAATACAATCATCGTTGGATTCACTTAAGTGCTACCATTCTTCCATTTGTCAGATTAGAAATAACGAAGTCGTTTTGAGTTATTAGATGGGTTTTCGTTTATGCGAAATTGTTGGGAACGAAGCTTGAAACTGACAGGACATAAGCAGAAAGTGGAATATTATTTCAGATTAATTTTCGATCTTCAGTTATACTTCATTGGATGTTTCCGGAGGTTTGGTTAAACTATCGGTCTTCCTGAATTTCCATCCACAGTGATGCATCCACTTTTCTCCCTTTCTTGTCATTTTAATCTTCCAGTTATATTGTTGAATCATAAAGTAAAATCGTGCAAATGTTAACTTGACTTCCAACCTACCTCGCTTTGTGCACTTCAGCAGGTGCGTCGGTGGCACAGTGGTTAGGACTCTCGCCGACCATGCACATGGTCCGAGGTTCGATCCCCTGCCGATGCACACCCGATATCTATGGTTGGCCTGTAAAATTTGGGCTACTGATATCCATGCTGAAAATTCCATACTTGTACTTGTGGCATCAAGCTGTAACTAAAATAAAAGTAAAAATAAAAATAAAAAAAAACGAAGAATAAATGTCGCGGAGGACTAAGTCATATTTCAAACAGAATGACATTGAGTCTTTTACGAAAGACTATTTGAAGGACAAATTGATTTTCAACTTAATACTCTGAGAGTTCTGCATTGAGTTGGAACATAATTTCCAGAACGAAGCTTATATTATTACTTTGATGACTGTTATTTAAATTGAGATTGTAAGAATTGGTTAAAACATTAATCTAAAATTTTATTTGAATCAACAGAGAAGGGGACTAACTACTATTTTCAAACCTACGGTCGAAAATCCATTTGCTTGGAGCATCGTGGAGTCTGGTCCTACACAAATGGCCGCACAGTCACTTTAAATGATTATTTGCAGGGAAGTTGTCATAAAGTAAGCTTTTGAAAGTAGATTTTTATTTAAATTGATGAGTATTCAGAATTCACTTATTTTAAGACACTAAAAATATTATTTTACTAACAGTATTCTGTCAAAATACTTTTCAAGACACCAGTGGAAATTGTGCTCCATATACACTTATGAATAAATTGCACGTGTTGCTTCAGTTACATCTTTAAGTTTTCATTGGGTCAGTTTTATAACCAGCTGGTTGTATTATTCCCATTTTATCACCTATGATGTTAAAATTACTTGATTATAAATTTCGATTGCAGTTGTACAAAGATGGAACTGTTACTGAAGTCTGAATCCTCAAACTTCTCGAAGAATTTTGTTTTGCTGAAGGAATCTGGGAAGAATACTGAATAGGCATAGGATAGTTGACAAATTTCTCTTGTGTCCCTATTTTAAAATTCTATGGATTGAGAGAGGCAAACATGTGATAGCAAAGTTATTATTTACCACGCTTTGTAAAAGATGCAAGGTAATAGCTTCACAGTTATATATGTATTTATAAATATCCCGCCAATTGTATCCAACCATCTAATATCATTAATTCACCATGTTGTCAAACCATCTAGCATGGTGGCCACATTGCAGGCTTGACTGATAGAATCCAGTCTGCACCAAAGAAAGAACTAGACACATTACACTAGTTACTGACTAGTGTTCAATGAAAAATATCCAGTACAGTCCTACAGGAGGTTAATCGTGAGCCTAAATAGCTCAGTGGTAATGTCTCTGACTGCGCCATTGGGTGACGCGGGTCCGAATCTCAGAAGAGATATGAGTTCCTTCAAAATTAGAGATACACCTCGCTGATAAGTGCCAGCTAGTAAGAAACCTAGGTTCAAGACTTTCTGTGGCCGACTGCCTTCAGCCACCTAATGCCGTCAGTGTACATACCTTTTTACCGAAGTGTCTGAATAAAATCAGCATTGAAAAAGTAATGAACATAGAATAATATTCAGCATTTACCAGTTATCAGTTGTTAGGATATTTTGAATCATTTAACACGTGATAACACTAATATTTATTATTTATTTTATTACTTAACGTTCCCAGTGGAACACAGGGCTTCAAGCTAGAGCCTTGAATTTTCGGTGGCAGTGATTTTTATTTTTACGGGATGGGATTGCTAGCCTCATGCCCAACCTTCTCTCTTTACCAATCGTATGACTGGCTTAGCGAGGTTCAGGAGTGCTTCGGCTGGGGATCTAGCCCGGGATCACATGCGTAGTCAGAGAGGATTCCGCCGCTGTGCCACCGACGCAGTGACATTAACAATAATAACATTAATAACCCACTTTTAATAGATGGTTAAAAGTGATTTTTAAAGTATGGAACGAAAGATGTATTTAACAACACATAAGTCAACAAAGAAGTCTCCTTAATTGGACACTAGTCAGTAAGTCACTAGCTCTCTGTTTTTCGTAGACTGAATTCTGTCAGTCAAGTTTGCAGTGTAGTTACCATGTTAGTTGGCTCGCGATTACGGTGCACTCTGAATTGTTGTTCATAGATGATTAAGCGTCTTGTCTTTGATTCGAACCCGTGTCAACCAATGCTGCAGTCAGAAATGACATGAATTCTTTCAGGATCTCAGATACTCCTCACTAACGAGTGCTGAAAAGAACGAAACGTAAGTCCGAGGCTTCTTTCCAGTTACCTCCAACCATCTAGTACAGAAATTTGTACTTATAACCAAAATTCAAAGCAGTAAGGTTTAATAAGTATTTTATATGTGTATATATAATGGTGACTAATAAAAAAGGTTAAAGGTTATTGTCAGTTACATTGTCTTCATGCAACTGAATCTCTAACAAGCCAGAAGAAGAAACCTGTACGTTGCGTTCAGAAATGTTTTATCCAGCATCTTCTACTACTACGGTTCTAGCTTCAGTTTTGTTTTCTTGAATTGTTGTATCATGAATTCTGTGTAGTCTTTTTTAAATTTATTTACTTACTTAACCCATTTTCAATCCTCTGTGCCCTTATTTCCTCTCATTTCTTTCGGAATGAGTGTTCACCGTTAAGCTGTTTAGTTATCAACACTTTCTGGATGATTTTCGACCGGACACTAGTCAGTAACTAGTGTAATTTGTGCGCCTAGTCCTCTATTTTGTGCAGACTGAATTCTATGAGTCAGGTTTGCAATGTGACAACCATGCTAGGTGGTTTTCCATCATGGTGCACTGTGAACTGTTGGTATTCGATGGTTGGAAGCGATTGGCCACAGGAAGCCTTGAACCTAGGTTTCGTACTAGTTGGCACTCATCAGCGAGGCAGATCTGCAAGTCCGAAGGAAACATATCCTTTTTGATATTTGAACCCACGTCACCCACTGTTGAAGTCAGAAATGTTGTGACTGAGCTATTCTAGATGATGCAAGACTATTCATTGTTTTTAACATACTGTTGTTTGTCATACAATCCTAAGTAATTGTATGGCTTTGAAATGAAGTTTTGTAAAAGGGTCTTTCTGCTGCCTTATGGGTTCTTTATTGGTTTTTAAGGATTTTTATGAATATTCTTATGCATATATTAGTTGGCACCTGTGATAAACTATGTGGTTTTCATGGTTCTAATTTTCCTCGCTCATCATGAAACTGTTAGTAAATATAGAACATGAAGAAAATTTCAAAAGGGTACTGCTTGTAATTTATAAAAAATCAGATATTATTAATGCGAACGACGTTCAAGACAAACTTGTAACCGTCTATCCTAATTTAGATATTGATTTTCACTCATTATTTTATGGCTGAATATTCCTAAGAATGTACTGCTAAAACATACTAGCTCTTTAAGTCAACTGGTTGATGGTGACCGGCAGTGGAATCCGAGATGCGCGTTTCGTCCCATTTGAGACTCTTCAACTGGATATACCTGCATTCTCTAGTGAGTCAGTGATGGAGTTCCCACCGAGACTCGAATCCAGTGCCCATAGTCTCAAACCGCTTGGACCAAGAGAGCCACCTCTTGTACAACGGGCATTATTAATTATTTAATTCAATTAAGACTTTCCCGTCGATTGATCGAACTGAAATGCTCGGTCTCAGACATCGCCAAACCATTTGCACAGTCGGCCGACCTGTCAACCTGAAACCGAGCACTTCCCTTCAACCAATCGACGGGAAATTCTATATTGAATTAAATAATACTCACCCTTCGTTTACATTTTTTTAAATGCTTCATTTATCCAGTTCAGATGATTCCTTTTCTAATATTATTTAATTTATTTTTTATTTTATTTTATTATAGCTTTATTCCACACAATATTTTGGTACAAGTATGAAATTTTCAGCATGTGATATCGATAGCCCAAATTTAGCAGGCCGACCATAGATATCAGGTGTGCGTCGGCAGGGGATCGAACCTCGGACTATGTGCATGGTCGGCGAGAGTCCTAACCACTGTGCCACCGACGCATGGATACATGTCTTTTAAATGTTCCTAGAATTCTGACCACTTATCCAAACATTCAGATATCCAGTGAATAAATAATGCAAGATTTATATATTTTTTTCCCTTCACGTTCTCCAGTGGAACATAGGGCTTCAAGCTAGTGGCTTGAAGTTTCTGTAGCAGTGTTTTTTTTTACAGGATGGGGTTGCTAGCCTCATGCCCGACCTTTCCTCTTTGCCAGCATTATTTCCGGCTCATCGAGGTAAAAGAGTGCGTCGACCGGGGATCGAACCGCGGACCATGTGCATGATCGGCGAGCGTCCTAACCGCTATACCACCGACGCACACAAGATTTATATAGCTCCATATCTTTAGATATTGAATCTTGACACTGAATACCTTCTTCAGGATTATCTTCACTTCACTTCACGAATGTCACTGTTCACTCTCATTAAATATTGCTTCATAAAATCCCACAAATCATTGTGACTCACTCATACAACTCTCCTATTATAGGCAGACAAAAGTAAAACACAGAGAACTAGCGATAAAAATAGAATAAAATGACTTTCTATTTCATGGTTGCACATATCACTAATGTAATTGAAATAATAACGGACATATTGAGGAAATGATGGTTATGATTTTCGCTTGATGCACCAATTATTTTATTCCTTGAAAGCTACCTGGCATGAGTGAATTCCGACTGTTTCTGTTTACGTGTTTATTCCATTTTGTACAGTATGAATGTTCACCCAAAAAGAAACTAAAGGTGTTTTTCAAAGGCGCTAAAGTAACCTGTCCTCCAAAAGGTGGATCAATTCAATTCAACGTGACAGATGGATCTACTCGACTTGCTGGATCAATAGTTTGTCCGAATGTAAACGAGTTTTGCAAGGTGAGCATAATGAATATATATGTATGAGTTCGGAATTCGTCTGTGTCGTAATTCCTCCGAATATTCTTTTAGCTATTCCTTGAGATCAATCAACTGTTTTGCATGCATGTAGATCTGATGAAATATTTTATCTAAACAGACTTGCCTCTAGAAAATGTTATTATATGTCACTTGATTTCACAAGCAATGTACCTCAAAGCCTTAAAAGTCGGAATCTATTATTATGTACAGAATTCCTGGCCTATTGACAATGGGTATAAATTCAGTAATGGCAGTTAGTCGGCCACTCTGAAAAGCCCACGAATTATGAAAAAATGGAGACTTCACTGAAATTGATATAAGTAAACTGGATCTGTAATTACTATAAGACACAATTATTTTAGAAAACGTTTCGTGAAATACGTCTTGAGTTAAAATTATGAACATTAAGTATCGTCTTGTACTGAAATATGTCCCTCAGTATTAATTTCTATTTGAATAAGGCATTTAGAAGACAAATTTCGCGAGATGATATCTTTATTTCGTAGTTTCTTTACAACCGCTTTGCAACTAACATGGTTGTTTAAAAATAATAAAAAAACAAACTAATGATCAATCATATTTACATACGTCATGTTGTCCATGGTAGGCGAAGATTGAAGTATATTGTTTTTGTACACACAGTTTAGGCTGTATATGATTAATCCAAAGAGCTTCCATCACCTTCAATAACCTTGAATTAGAGTTATGTGAAATAATTGTGAAACAGTCATTAATATTGATTTTGTGACCTGACACTGATAAGTGTTTTGCAATGGATGATGCTGGATTTCTATTCAGATTAATCGCGTTGGGATTTTCTATATGTTTTAGTAACGATTTTAGAACATGTTCTTTTCGACGGCATTGGAAAATTCTATTGGTTCTACCTATATAGTTGTGTCACGGCAGCTGCAGGTGAACTTGTAGATACAATTTGAAGTAGAGTCTACAGAATTTCGTCCTTTATTCGTAGGTACAGGGATCGAAAATGTTCGGCAAGTGAGAGAAAGGGATGCGGTGTAGAATGTGCGTTTGATGGCTGACCGAAGTCTTTGAGCTGTCAACTGCATAATCTGGTCACCCTTGAATGGAAGGTTAATAAAGATAGCTTTCTTTGGTACAGAAGCTGTCTTTTCGGGATGTGGTCTTCCTTTACTGTGACAAGTGATAAAGTTCTCCGGATAACCATTAGCTAATAAAACTGAATGTATATGTCGAAACTCATCCATCACTGTGTCACTCGTGCATATTTTTTGGGCCCTTGAGAACAAACATTTCACTAGGGAACGTTTATACTGGATAGGAACAAAACTGGTGAAATGAAGATATTGTCCACTCCATGTCTGTTTACGAAAAATAGATCGCTGAATCGTTCCATCATCTCTCCTGATCATTGTAATATCGAGGAAACCGAGTTTGTTATTCGATTCGCGTTCGGAAGTCACTCGGATATTTGGATGAATATGATTAAATAGAGTAATAAAGTTTTCAATAGGTTTACTATTATTAGCAATAATGAGAGTATCATCTACATAACGTTTATACAGCATAAATTCTTCAAGTATACCTCGCATTTGTTTCTCCAATTTGACATGAATATATCTGCTAACAGGGGCCCAAGAGGGCTCCCCATCGCAACACCACCGATTTGTTTGTATGACATTTCTTCTAATATTTTATGTACATCCTAGGATGATGTCTATGATGTAAGTGACAGGAATAGGTAAGTTTATCCTATTGCGTGTGATGTAATCGCAAATAAAATCGACACTTTCATGAAGAGGAATATTGATGGATAAAGATTCTACGTCGATTGAACACACAACCTTTTCCTTAATGTTCGAGGTGTCTAGTATATCGGTTAGATCAAATGAACTTGTAACAGAATGATTTGATAATGAGTCTCTTACAGGCATAAGGACCTCTGTAATCCATTTTGTGATTTTTATGGTATGGAGAATTCGGTATGTCTAAGATGGGTCTCAGTGGCTTCCAAGTTTTGTGGATATTTGGAAGGCCATGCAGCCAGGGAGTAAAGAAACTACGAAATGATATCATCTCGCGAAATTTGTCTTCTAAATGCTTTATTAAAATTTATCAAAGGGACTAATTGTTTTAATTAATTTCTATGTTGAAAAGTTAAAAGTATCAAAATGCACGTTTTCTGGGGTTACTAATAATAATCAGAATGGGATAAGACTGACATCCAAGAATTTCCACGGATAAATATGTGAGGAAACACGGTCATATCATTTATCGATGCTAAGAAATTAATTGGTTTTCTAAATTGTTCTCATTGGAGTTTTCAAGACTGTAACACCTTCCAACCTTAGTTTCAAGATAAAAATGGTAAAACCTCGTCCAGAAAAATATTTCAAAGGCTCAAGTTCAACCTAAATAATAACCTTCAATAACAGACTTCTATTTACCGATTAAGTACTCCTTGAATGTTGGTAACATTACGTGTCTTTATCAGACATGTCACAAGTAATTAGAAATAAACAACTTCTGAATAACATGTTATTTAACACCCTTTCTAGTTAGACTTTTTCGGAGGGAACAAATAGGTTTCCAATCTAAAGTGTAAATAATCTGTTTTACTTTGCACCAGTAATGAACTGGTAGGACCCTCTCAAACCATTTAGATGGTGTATGTTCCATTCCCGGCCGACACATTCCAAATCCTCTTAGTTTATTAGCTGGTGGTAAGGGAATTTCAGTAGGGGGCGAGAAACCCTACTTTTCAAAGGATAATACCACCACTGCTGGAACTTCAAAACAAAACGCCTGAAGTCGTGTGTTTTACTTGGGGTGCAAAGAATAGAAAAACCATAAATGGCTATGACTTTCTGTTGTTTTATCCGTTCATATATTCATGAATATCGTTTCTCTATGGATTCCTTTTTCTTTTCAGTGAATGGCGTAATCGTCACTTGAAAATGAAAATATACTACCTTGGTGCTATTGTATCTTAATTACTATGGATCAAAATGTATTTCTATAAATTTGAGCTAACTGTTAACTGTGATGGTGATATATCGTATTCACTCCATTTTAACTGATATTTGTACACAAATGTAATTTAGATGATGTAAAAATATAACAGTATGAATTATACTGCTTTAATTGACTTGAATTAATTTCTTCACTGTCCTTATGTGCTAAAGAGATTCTGTTTACTGGAAGGTATAATGCTTAAGAACAAAATACTATTGAAGCAGACTTTAGTCATTGGGATAAATTTATGGCTAGGAAGCTAATATACATAAGACTACTATACGTATCAGAGACTTGTTGCCGCCTTACGAAGGGCACTTTGAACAAACTACAAACCTTCATCAACAGCTGTCCTCACTCAATACCATTTAAGATCAGATGGCCGGCCAGAAAAGATCAGCAACAGAGATCTCTGACAATGAGCGAATCAACACAGCAGAAACAATTGTGCAACAAATATACAGGAAGAAATGGAGGTGGATTGGATTGGTCATATTCTGAGAAAAAAAGTCATCAAGTTACATAACACACCAGAACATTGCTCGAGGGGAAGTTGAATGGGAACCGCCGAGTCGGTAGTCAGTGTGGGTGTGGGGTGACATGTCCGAGGTAATGAGAAGAGGAGATGAAAGCATGTGGGCAGACGTGAAGCAACGTGGAAACGTTGGCGGAGAGACGTGGAGACGTCCGGCTGAAGCCTTATGTTCCTCTAAGAACTAAAGGAGACAATAATAATAAATGCGTGAATCGGAAAAGACAAAGTTTTGTGTCTCAGTTCCTTTTCAAGTTAGAAACATAAAACTATTATATTCTTTCCCGTGAAATTTTCTCCCTGAATTCTGAACAAACTCGAAGATTCATATAGTACTTTTACTATGGTATAAAAATAGTATTCTGCAATCCTACATCGCAGACATCGGTTTATTTAATTTTAACTATCAATGAGAATATACTGATACAGATAATATTCAGCATATTTTATACACTAAATGAAGTTTTCAAGCAAATGCGAATGTAGCGCTTGAATACATTAAAAAATAAAAAAAATTGTAAAGCTGGCATCAGTGTATATGAGTGCAGTAGCGAAAGGTTAAAAGGTAACATTTCTACTGTGACATGGAGGCAAGTACGTTCTCAGTAAAGTATATCGTCCGTACGCAACGTTAAGTCCACAAACGTATTCTCGGACATTGTCCAGCTTGGTTAGACAGAGGGGAAAAGAAGAAGAGTAACGGCTTCATCCCCGAACACCTTGTCAACTCTGGGCATTGAGCACTCCTTCAATATCGTACAAAAGGACTTCGAATACGCCATCTGTATACAGCTGAATCATTGGATCTGAAAGTGAGCCTCTGTATTTAAAAGCATTATATATATTCACTTGCTCTAACGTAACCAGAGTAACGTTCTCACTAAAATTTCGCTTCCTTTTATCATGTAAGTTTACCATTATTATTGTTATTACTACCATTATTTTATTATCACTGTTATTACTCTCATCATCCATATTTTATTATCTCTCTATTTCTGTTTATTAACAACATTGCGTTTTCATGTAGATTTTATATGAAAACACTTTATCGTCTTTCCACTAGTTCTTGTCCACTCTACACAATCAAATTGATTAGTCAATGTTATGTCTTGTTTGCATAAAACTGTTGAATATTGTCAGCATTGATAGGTTTGGAGGGAAAATAATTCTGTCTCCGACTGTATTTATCATTTCAAAATGTGCATATACTCATGCACACACATGTTGAGGTGTGTTGTTGATAACTATAATTAGGAGCTTCAAAGCATATTCCTTACTGGCACCAGAAGTAAATTGAATTGCTTGAACTTATTAGTGTAGACAAACAGTTTCCTGCATGGCGAGACATATTGTAGATACAGGGCATAAAGTTAACGTTTATACGTCTTTTAAACCTATCTATAGGATATGCTGGGGTTGCATACTAAAGTTTATGCAAGCTGAAGCAATT